GTTTTATGGAACAGTGAGAGCGAAATTTGCCCTTTGACGTCCTGACTGGTGCGAAACCACTAAACAATATAGATAGCACTGAAGTCCACTCGCATCCCGGTCGGGAAAAATCAATATCAAATTGCTCGTAAATCCACCTAAAAACAATTCGCTATTCCGCATGGCACAAATTCAGACAAATCCGATTGAGATAAGAGGACACATCAACCGATGGCTCTTATTGCGTGTACCTTCACGAGTTAATAAAATTGTGGTGGCGACACACAGCCACAGCAGCAGTGCCGGAAAGTTTTCTAGCAGAGTGATCGAAAGTAGCGGAAAATGTAATTAACTCGGTCGCCTTTTCGAGCTAATTTGATCGAGCTGCACTCAATCAGTCGCAAAACATTTGGTGCCGCTTTAAGGATAATTTACTTCAAGGCTGTCAGCAGTAGGAATTTAGCTCATTTTACAGAATTTAAGGGGCACAACCCAAGTAAAATTGCAAGTTTTATCAATGTTTTAAAACTTTCTAAAAGTCTATAACACTAAGCAACAAAGAGGAATATTTTATTCTGGAACAGAAACATCTAAATATATTTACCTTTATTGTGGTTCCTTGAGGTGGAGTATAGAATATACGTAAGTTAAACGAGCGGAGCGGTTGCTAAAAAACGTGACGTGTTAGGGTAAAAGTATATTCTAGACTTAAAGCGAATACATCACATCAAGAGTGAATTCTCAAATAGACATATCTTCTTTCAAAAACATAGATTCAAACGTCAATTTGTTGAAACTCAACGCTCGCAAACTAACATCAGGTAAGGTAAACATTCCACTACATTATGGTGGTGTTTGCTTGCGTGGGTAAGCAAAGAGTTTCAAAAAATTGTCGTTTGAATCTTTGTTTACATAGTATAGATACGGATATTTTAAAATTTACTCTTGATATCAAGAAGACTGGCGTCACTAATCTCTATACAAGCGACAGATAAGGCCTGTACTCGAAAAAAATGCACCAGACACAAGTGTTCGCCAAAAATTTATTTTAAGTTGGATTTTCTTGAAACTTTTAGGGAATGAACTAATACATATGGATTATTTTTCGGCATAATTACTTTATTCAATTTCCTTTTCATCGCTGAAAGCCCGCACTTTTCCCTTAAGACCCCCCATTGCATTTTATGTAATGGTGGAGCCGATCTTTTTGGTCACTTTCATCCATTCTTTCTTCAACTCCAGCTCGTTCTTAAACACCTTGGACGATTTTCGAACTTTGGCCTTCATTATGGCCCAAAATCTTTCCACCGGACGAATCTCTGGTGAATTTGGGGGGTTGGCGGTTTTTGGTACAAAAACAACGTTATTGTTTCTGTACCAATCCAACGTCGATCACGCGTAATGGCATGATGCCAGGTCCGGCCAAAATAATGTCTCGCCTCCGTGGGACCGCAGGAAGGGCAACAGACGCTTCTGGAGGCACTCGGTGCGGTAAATTTTGCTGTTGACCCGAGCAAAGTTTAATAACAAGCGCATAACATCACAATAACTCATTTTGTTAACTAGAATTAATGTTGTTTTTCTCTGTTATCAACTAATCGTTTTGAGCGATAACTTGTTTTGTTATCTGTTGTTATCATGAAGAAAAGTCACCCTTGACATTTTATTTATTTTGTATATTTTGATTATAAAGGTAATTGCCACATACTTAATTTATTTGCGTATTTGGCTTGCAAGCTGAAATGTAATTTACATTGGTATTTCCATTTAAAACTGACACACTAACACAAGGTCGAATGTGATGTTGAACTTCTTTTAGATAATACTCAGAGCTATTTTTATAGGAGTACATGTTGTTATAAATTTCAGTTGTGATCAATTTCCTGCCAATTATATAAATTCTATCGTTTCTATCAACTAACGCATGTTCAACATGGTAGAAACCAGCTCCAATTTGTATAAAGGAATCGTTGTAGCCTAGCGTTTTACATCTTTCTCTGGTACAATATTGAACACCATCGTAGGTGAATTTTTCATAGCGGGTGAATTCTTGCTCTGAAAGTCCTTCGTCAATGTGTAACGAATCGGGTAGATCAAAAATTAATGCACGGTCAAATTTTAAGCGGTGTATCGGTTTGGAGCTCCATAGTTGAGAATGCCACTTACTGATCAAATCATTTTTCAAAAAAGATGCGGTCTGGCAAATGCGATTTAACATAAACTTACTTGCAATTTGAACGACTGGTCGATTGTTTCCGGTTCTGAACCCCAAAATCATCCCATTTCCATTTTCATATGGATAGAGTGACGAGTTCCACAATGCCCCGAAATTCTTGGCACTGTCAGATAAGTGGATTAACAGATGGATGTTAAAATACATATGCTCTTCTCCATATAACTTTTGGAACTTACGAACGAAATCTTTCAGTTGCTTATCAACAAAGTCAATGGTTTTTTCCGTCAAATGCGTATCAAGTAGTTGAAAAATACATGATGAAAGTACCATGAAGTGATCCAGATATTTCTTCGGCAGGATTCCAACAACACATGGGTAAAAATAATGGAAAAGCATGTTCTCCCAATCACTTGCCTTATTTTTTTTCATGTCCTCGATTTTTCCCGGGTACCGAGAAAATAAGCTTGGTGTTCTGATGGTCAGCATTCTTCTTTCAACTTCATACATCTTCTTACCAATGTAATAAGGCTTAGTGTGATTTGATGAGGCTGTAAACAATTCCCATAAATGTTTGACAACGCCGAGTAGAACAGAATGCATATAATCCGGTGAGAAACCTTAAAGTTCAAAAATAAATTAACTTACTCATAGCTACTAAATCAGTATACTACCATTCACAATGTCGAAATGTGGGATTGACAGAAATACCGACAGCCCCTTGATTCCTTTAACAGGCTTCCCAGTATGATGTGCCTCTATCATAAGACTACGAGTCTCACAATGGTTCCTGTTATCACATGCCTTAAATGGGTATCGAATTTGGTTACCATTTACAAGTTTACCCTCATGATAGCAAACAGAACAACCAAATTTTCCATTGAATTGGGTAGAGTTTTGAAGTTTTGGTCTTGCAACGGAATCCAAGCAGTTCTGTATGACTAACACATGGTATACATCAGACTCAATAGTGAACGAGTTGCTCAGTTTCGTCATTTCTTCACAAAACTCTTGGAAGAAAAGTGGAATATTCGGTTCACCCTTATTCAACCAGATGGCGGCCAATAATAAGTTGTTCTTATCGAAGCGAATACGAGGTGGTAAATTGTTAATGACGACAAAGATGGGGTAACATGGCTTGTTGATACTCCAGCGGTATGCTGCTGCACCATCTGTGTTCACTGACAAAGTTATTGTCTTTCCTTTGATTTTTTTATGGATCTCCTTCACTACTTTGCCTTGATTGATATCGCTTATGCCTTCCTTTTCAACAAGTTTTTCGTAATCTGATATTTCTTTGCGATATTTGATCATAGTTTCTCTCAATTGTTGCTCAATTGGAATGGTAATAAAGAAATCAAACTTATTACTTTCACACTCGGGAATTGAACAGACAGCATCTTTGGCTGGTACCGATTTTCCAATTCCTTGTTGGCATTCAGTACAATAATATACTCTGGAATATTCGTACGGGTAAGGAAAAGAGGCGTTAAATGCTTCAAAGCACTCCGGGAATATTTTATAGCCTGCCATCAGGTTTATCATTTTAAGCAGATCTACCAAAGCTGTTTGCGTTAGGTGATGCTTAATATAATAATTTAGAATCATGAAACGTGCTTCTCCTATTGTGAGAACAGAATCAAATTTAATATTGTTGCTTCCGTCAAAAAACGCCTATAAATAAATAAACGTGCAGTAAATTAAAGTTTTTCGTAACTCTACAGCTATGACCCTACCTTACTGTTAAAGCATTCCGATTGATTTTCACCTGAGCGATGCTCGTCGGAATTGTAGTTCTGATTTAAATCATTGAAAACATCAGATGACTCTGAACCTGACTCAGAAAAACTTTCTGAACAGTCTTCTTTGTTGTCGTCAAGAACATTCTGCACACTCAATGTCTCTGAAGATTCTGAATCAATAGAATTTGAGTTATCGTCTGCATTGAATCTCAAGGCACTGTTTTCACGATCACAATGATAAATTTCATTTGCCGAATCAAGACCTATATGAGCAGAATCGTTGGAATGCACTGTTTCTGATTGTACGCCATTACTGAACTCATGTTGTAATATAAATTCTGTTTTTGGTTTATTTCTCTGAAATAAAAAAAAAACAAACTTATTTATATTTCAAGCTTTGCTTAATGCAATAACCTTCTGTAAATATTTCTTGTTCTGAAGCTTAGTGGACATAAAATAATGTCGTTTATTACGCCGATTGTCCATTGTTGTGGGAATCTAGCTTATCGGACTATTGAACACAAAAATGACCAACTAGAATAACACACATTGAAATATAATACAAATTGTCTTGTAAAAATGGCATGAATTTTTCATAAGGGCCTAACAATGTTTCTTAATAAATTTCCCATGCATGGAAAATGATTGCTAACATTAAAAAATAGATGCACGATAAATTGGCAGAAGAAGTCAGTGTAAATGTCTGTGACTCCTCATAAGTTTAATAGATTATTGGTGTTTTTGAAATATCTCAATATGTGAATGTGTTAAAGTGTCTTAGGCCCTGATGAAAAATTCAACCGTAACTCAATAAACTGGATAAAACAGGCGAAACAGTAGTTAAAATAGTGTGAGTAACACTCCGTATATGTTGCCCATGCAAACAGTGACGTCACTGCGCGCGTTTCAAATTTTTCGGTTCACTAATACATAGATATTTGGCTATCTGCTATCCCTATACCTCATTGATGAATGATTCTTGGTTATCAAATGTCATTGTCTGTTCGCTTTCCGTCGGGAACTTGTGAGTTGTTGGTGCTGTCGTCGCGAAATTTTTGTTGTTTTATTTGCTGTGCGTTGTTTAAAAAACTCGGGTGTGAATCGTTGGTATACATAAAATGGGTCGTAAACGGTTGAATGTTGCCAAAAAACGCGTGCTTAAGCAGGCCGCGAACAAAAATCTTAGTTTTGTTGTGCAGTCACTTCCAGAATTGAAGGTAATTATAACCTCACATGATTAGCGCATCTGATATCATCAAATCAAGTAAAAAACTGTTTGATTTACATGTTGCCATTTTTCCCATTGATAAATGTATCAAATAAATCCACTGCATTGATTAAACTGATACTTGCCGAGTTTTCAGGCACAATTTGAAAAAATGCTACTGACATTTGGTCGTTCAACCGAATCCAATTACATAACCTATATTATTTTCATTGCAGCAAGAACTGTTGGAAAACCCAGCACAACGAAAAGGAAAGAATGCAAAAAGTGAGAAACCAATTGACCTGCAGTGGGAGCCATCAAGCTCAGAAATGATAATGGTTCCAGAATACAATTTTGAGAGTAACGTCGGTGCAGAAGAGATTGACATGGTTGAACCGACGTCGTCGGCACCACCCCCGCAGGCCACACGCACATACAGCCGCAAAAAATCTATTGAGCAACTGCTCCAGGAGTGGGAAACTGTCCCATGTGCATCAAACAACGGTATTCCTGAAAACTCAATTCAAATCGTACACGTTGAGCAACTCTACGATAAGGGAAATGGAGCTTGTGGATCGTCGCCAGAAGTTGTTATTGTGAATACTCAATCAGGTATGATGTTTTTTGTTGAATCAAAGAAGATAGTATATTTTTGGTGTTTTTTATGTTGTAGAATGCTCGTGTGGGAAGTTGGATGAGGTTGAGAACTATAAGAAATTATCGGAGTCCCTGCAGAAGGAGAAGGATGCTTTGCTGTTGAGAAATGCACAACTGGAAGCCCAGAACGCAAAGCTGCTGGATTCTTTGACTTCGAAACTTCTGCCAACACCTGAGAAGCCATTCAAGGAAGAGGAAGGATTCCTAGATTGTGAAACGCTACAGCGGTTGTCTCACGAAGCAGGCGACAAGGATTATTTGTTTGTGAAGTTTCTGATGATGCAGCTTTTCCCGGATGGTTTTGTTGGACGTTCGGTGACAGGCCGTCGATCGAACAATCCATCCGGTCGCCCAAAGAAGAAGGATGCAGTTTGTCCAGTTGAAAATACACATGATACAGGTGATGGTGAAGCAACGGGTGACGAAACTGAAGGAGAAACTGCAAAAGTGCCGTTGGACCCAGTAAAAGTGCGATGGATAAAAAGTATGAATACATGATGCATGTTTAGATTGTTGTAACTAATTTGATTTAAATCTTACAGGACGCCTTTACGATCGTCGCATTTTTCTTCGTGATGACTCTGCTACTGCAAATACATGCTACAAAAATGCAGGACGTCTGATGACACGAGTGATTGCCAATGCTTCGCGATAAGCACATGGAGAGGCATTTCATGGTTTATTTTTATTTTGTTTTTTATTTTTATGGGAACAATTTTAGCTTGTTACAATCAGTTTTATCACAGAGCAGCGTCAAATCAAATTGAAAAAGTCGTAGCATTTTTCCATTTGTTACTTAATTTTTTGAAGATCTGAATGTATCATTCGAGTTAGATTTGTTTTTTGTAAAGACATCTTTGAAAGACCAATAAAGTAATGAAAACTAACAATCAAATGTTATTCCAATAAACTGAAATTTAAAATAGGTCGAAATTATTATGTATAAATTATGGCTAAAAAAACAGCATGATAACTCATTTTGTTATCTTATACCTGTTATCAATGTTCAGCAATGATATCTGGTTCATAGCTTAATGAGTTATTATTATAATAAATTTACGTTACAGGATTAGTTATCAAGCTGTTTATTATGATAGCACAATCAGTTTTTTCAATGTTATCTATGGATCAAATTTTAGTTATCAATTATGTTTTGTTGCCTGTTTATTCAACCAAACTGAAATCAAACCTAGTTATCAATGGATTGATAACCAGGTAACAAAACGTGTTATCAATATGTTAGCAAACTTTGCTCGGGGATGGTACCCATTGTGATGTACGGTTTACTCAGTTTACCGCATTGGCATTAGGCCTGCCCGAGCAAGTATTTTTTGGCGAATTTGTCCACTTTCTTCTTCCGGAACATCAAACCGTGATTTGGCAACGTAGAACTCCAGCCCCGGCATCCATAACCACACACATCGGTTTCGTTAACCACTCTCGATACAGCTTCCTTGCGCGGGATTTGGCCGCCGTGTTTTGTTGATCACGCCGGTTCGGTGCCTTCCGGACCTTGAATACACGAAGTCCAGCTCGTTTCATGGTTTGCTGAACGAACCAGGCGGAACACTTTGCCATCAGAGCCACGTCGCGAATCGAAAGGTTCGGATTACGCTTAAAATAATTCAACACCCTCCGGGCCTTCACAGGGTCAGCTGTCTTCGATTTTCTTCCACTTCCAGCCAACCGCTCGGTCGTCTGGGACTCCTTAAACGATTTTACCACCCGAGACACAGTTGTATGGGTGATTGCCAGTTGTCTTCCGATCCATCTCATGGTCGCAGTCGGATTTTCCATGACGGCGCGCAAAATTCTCCGGCGATTTTCTTCTTGTTTCGATGACATCTCAATAACCGATGACATCACCAATAACCTAAACCGATTGTTATGAAATTTTGAATAAAATAATGCGTTTGATTTTGAGATGTAATAGATTCACTTGCTCAACTTTGATGTTAGACGCCTTACAATGGTTGTCGGTGAAGCAAAGAATTGTATATTTGACTATGGTGTTCATTTTTAAAGTAGTTAACAGCAGCAAACCGGCCTCGATATTTGTGTGATCGAATTGAAAGAGGAAGTGACTTTCATAGATATAATACTATAAACGCGGTTGAAATAAGAACACCACATTTCTTGACTTGTGCTTCACAAAATTCATTATATTATAAAGGAATAAATGTTTTAAATTCGATGCCTAGACATATCAAACGCTTAGCAACACTTACAGAATTTAAAAGACACTGCATTTTACACGTTAAAGCTGTATTTTGAACAGTTATCCAGTGATTTTTTTATGAATTGACAAATTATGTATCTTGACGAAGTTATCTCTAACGGATTATTTTATTTGGATAGCTGTCATAACGACTTTTTATTAATTATTGTAGCACTGCAAAAACTATTTCTGTTCGCCACGAGGGTGATGATGGATTTTTAATATTTGATTTAATAGTAGATTAATTAAAAAAAAAGTAGTCTACAAAGGTTTGAGCCTCGCGCGCGTATTACGGATATAGAGGACTGAATTTAACATTTGATAAAAAAAATGCAATTTTGAAGCTTATTTGGAAGAAACCTTGAGTTAGTAGTAAGTTTTCTGGCAAATGTTAGGGGTTCGTGAGCATTCCTGACATTGCTGAAAATTATGATAGCATCAGATTGCGAGGTTGCTAGTGTAATAGGATGCTTTGTTGATTGTTCATTAACTCTTGGTTGCTCGTAATACTTATATTTTTGGTGGAAAAAAAGGCGAACTAAGAGGTGGACGCCTGAGCTTTTCCACATTTATATCGCTGTGAAGCAACTGTAATCTCTAGAGGAAATTTATATCTGTAACTGAAACCAGTTCGATTTTGTTTGCCAACCTGGTTAAAATGTCATATTCAATTATCTTAAAGATAAATCGTCCAGCTCAAACCTTTGTAGGGGTAAGAGGTGAGACCATCATCATCATAAAAAAACAAAAAAAAATAACTTTTCATTCAGTTATTGAAAATTGATTTTCTTTAAAGTTTAGGATCATAACTTACTATAGATATACAAAGAGTTGGTAGATCTTAACATTTGAATCAACACCAATGAATTTTTACTCTTAAAGTCCAAGATGTGCAAAAACAAATACAGTTTATTACTAGAATTAAAATCTACTTTTTCTTAGGTACCTATTACAAGCATAAACTTTATTCTATCTACTGCTTCAAACAGAACTATGTTTTGTCAACTGTGTGCAAAGTTATTAGCAAATAAGCAGTTCGTGACCAAAACTGTGTATGCCAAGCATGGGCCCCGTTACGTGGGTAGATCACCTTTTCGTTTCTATCACCGATTCCTAGTCCCGACTACTTCAAACTAGGCGAACAGGATTTTTCAGTAACCTAAGACAAAGAGGAGACAACTGGCTTCTTACTATTTTATCCCTATCTCTTTCTTTATCTATATCTATCTATATCCCTATCTTACGCACTTCAAATCGGCCAATCACGAGCTGGTTCACGTTTGACAGAAAAGTGGTTCGTTTTCGACCCCGTATTGTCTCCTCTTCCTCTTAGTCAGTAACCAAAGGAACACATCTTAGTCCTTGTTACTTTTTATGCCTTGTTGATAGTGACAATACTCGGCTTTGTCCAACGAGGATGATCTTGAAACAAGGGAAGAATGAGTTAGTCAGCTATGTGATTCCTAATCTTCTATTCGTTGTTCCCTAGGTTGAAGTGGTTAAGACTAGGATTATGCTGCATGGTCATTATCGGTGTCATTGCTTAATTTTGTTGCTAAGGAATCCAATTTTGACTGACAAAGGGGGCGCGCTTAAGGAGGGTGCTCTCACTCTCCGAAGGGTATAAATAGCGGGACCTTTCAATAAGAATTGAAATTCGTCTGCAGCAGCTTAACTTCAGACATGACGCTATTTTCAAAGCTCTTTGCTCGGTGTATACAACGCCCAGGTCTGGATCGTATTCCACCGTCCTTCATCAAGAATTGTGTAGCATCGTTGGCAGACCCGTTATGTCTATCTTCAATCGTTTACTCCTTTTTTCCGGATTCCTGAAAGCTTGCATCAATTACACCGATCTTCATGTCAGGTAACATTCACAGCGTGGAAAACTACCGACCTATCTCGATCCTTAATTGTTTGCCCAAAGTTCTCGAAAGTCTTCTGCATGACAAGTTGTATCCAGCTGTGCAATCTATAATCTCGGAGTTCCAGTATGGATTCATGAAAAAGCGCTAGACGATATCCTACACCAACACTCTTATTGGTAGCTTAGAAAAGCGTCAGCAAGTAGACGCCCTTTACATTGACATCTCTAAGGCTTTCAACAAAGTCCCCCATGACACAAAGCTGAGCTGCCTTGGTCTTCCGCCGTGGGTCGTTCACTGATTAAAATCATATTTATCATCCAGGAAGACCTTCGTTAAGGTTAATGATACGATGTGTTTGATATACCATCGTGAGTTCCACAAGGGAGCCATTTAGGACCTCTTATCTTCGTTTTATTTATTAACGACGTGTGTGACCACTTGAGTTCCTGTAAGTTATTATATGCTGATGATTTGAAAGTCTACCGTGTGATCAAATCGATCCTAGATTGTTGTGCACTAGAAACTGACATCGAGCGGTTAACATCGTGGTGTCAGATGAACGGAATGCAAGCAAGCACTACCAAATGCAAAGTCATCACCTTCACCGGTAATCACTCGCCGATCATATTTTAATTATTCGATGAATCAATTGCCGCTTGAACGAGTTGATTCTATTAAAGATCTTGGACTTACCGCGGATAGCAAACTTAGATTCAACGAGCATATATATTTCTGTCAATTAACCACTTCATTCGAGCAGGTAAAATGAAGTTTACCACCACTCGAACTTTGAAATAAAACATTATTTTGAGATTTTTTCTTCTAGAACCATGAGAAAAGCAGCCAACATTTGTGCGTTTCATTAAAAAATAGAAATTAGTTGGTCCAGTTTTGTGAAATCGCTGGTAGAAAGTCACGCCAAAACTGCTTGACAAAGAGGTCAATTGCAAAGAGCAATTCCTTGCTTGGATTCCTGTGTTGCAATTCGATGATGTATTCTTCTTCTTCTTCTTCTTCGCATTTCAAGCTTATTGTAATATCGCATATTAGCTTATAGCGTGCTCTCAACTTAGTGTTCTAGATGCACTTCCACAGTTATTAATTTGAGAGCTTTCGATGCCTGTACCATTTCTGCATTAGTATAATTGTGTGGCCCAGGGAAGTAGAGAAATTTTCCAACCCGAAAAATTCCTAGACCGCACCGGGAATCGAACCCAGCCAACTCCAGCATGGTCTTGCTTTGTAGCTGCGCCTTTACCGACTGAGCTAAGGGAGGGATGATGTGCACGCTTTGAAAACATTGTACTGCTCCTTGATTCGTAATGTTCTTGAATATGGAGAACACTTCTGGGCTCAGGTTCGGACGACAGCTTCCATGGACCAATCCCGATATCCTACCACCATACGAACGCAGATTTATTTATTTATTTATTTGAGAGGGAAAAGCCCACTTCAGAAGGACCTACCTTGCCCCTTCTCAAGTGGGCGGAAAACCTCTTCTTTTCGTATCAACAGATAACCTAAAATCCTACAGATACATATATACTTAAACTAAATCAGGAAACATTG